AAATTCAATGGAAACGTCAGCTCAACTCATATCATTGTGGGAAAATTCTTCTTCTACCAGCCCTTCATCATTTAAAACGAAATTGGATGAATACATCTCATATTACTGATTTACTGGTAGTCACGGCAACAATAGTTAATTCAAAAAATAACTAACCTACTAAACTATTTGTACTGACTCGAAGAATTGTTTTTTTCCTCTACAATGTATATTGACTCAGCTCAAAACGCGTTGCCTAACAATTCTCTGCTGTTAACATTCCTTAATTTATTCTGTATGTAAACCGTGCATAAGGATTGCTTTACCCATTTATTGCATTTAACTATCTGCCTTTTAACTGCGTCATAGTTTAGATATTGTTATTTGTTTCCATTATTTCGTTTTTGACCTGCTCTTTATTTTCTAGCTGCAGAGTCTCTCTGCATACTTACCAAACACAGCTCCGCCATGAAGTGGCCTGGCGGGAGCATATCCTGGACCGTTTGCATAATTTCGAGAACGTCTCCCCTAAAGATATAATTCGGGCTCCAGACGAGGCGCCCGTTGACAACCAACCATCCTTTGATCTATCTTCTGGTTCATTGCTATCTGCCTCTGCAGAAGGAAGACATTCAGACCCTGATGTTAATTTTTTGCGCTTAGAAACGAAGAAATTGGAGGACGAAGAAGTGAGTAGTGAGTAGTGAGTATTTATAACGAATGATTTATCTGAGGTTTAAGTAGATATAATCCTTATTGGTCATTTTGTGTCTACAAATTGGGAATACCCTATCTTATTATTTATGCTTACGTTAGGTGACATCATCTACTGTGGCCTGTGTATGATTCATTTTATCATTTTCACTTTGCAGCTAACAGCTTCTTCGGCCAAGTTTGATGATCTCCTTGACGAGATCATACACCACTACGCTCCACCTCTCTGGATCTTTCTGAATTCGGTTGAGATCACCACCTCGGCTTCTCGGAAGCCTTATCGACTCCCTCCTGAAATGCCTAGTGATCTCGAGCTTAGTTTGCGCCGCATCATGTTCCAAAGGACAATAAATGAAAGCCGTTTGGCCCTCAGGACTTTTCTAACCCCAGCCTCTACTTCGTTGGTTGATCTCTTGAATCGGCTTAAGCAGATTCATGATTCATTGTTGAGCTGGCATTCTCGCCTTCTTGAAGCCAGCAAGCGAGAGGATGCCATTTTCGGTGATTTGTGTACATGCGGACAGAAAGCAAAGCAAGTCGACAATCAGAGACATGTCAGGTTTGGAAATACATGTCCATGCACTGAACATACTACTCAACACCTCCCAATGGATGTAGGAGAGAGCATTTCAGGAAGTTTACAGAATCCTATTAATGCTGGGGAGGAAAATCAAGTGGCCCTTTTCCGAGAATGTTCGAGCCCTGTCGCTAGGAGAACCGAGTGTACTGGCCTGATATACTGCGGGTTGAGCTCACTCGAGGAAGATGCATATGTCAATTTGGAGACCGACATCGAATCATACAATCATCTTCGGCTGATCTGGCAGCTGCATGATCATCTGGATAGTCTGTTGCTAAGGCGGACACGCATGCATCAAATGGTGGCTGCACGCAATAGTGGAAATTATCCAGTTTGGGAGCACACTTTTGCTGAGTTGACGGCGCAGGAGACAGCACCGTCTTCTGCTATCGCTCCTCTCTATTTCTCATCCTTCGGGATCAAAAGATTTATTTCCTACGGACTTTCGTTTGAGGAGTCCACAACCCCTCCTTCAGTAGACCAGATTGCTTCATCACTTCCTGAAGATCCCATTACTCCGTATTCGCAGACGGCCATTTCGTCAGAAGATCCGGTGGATGAGTTGTGCGAGATGGTTATCCGAGCTCTCATCCCTCACGATCAGCGTTGCCTGGAGCCCTGCGCTCTAGACGTCGACGATTGTCGGACTCTTGGTTCTGACATTTCTTGCTTCAGCGACCTAGAAGGACAGTCTCAGCCTGAAGAAGACAGCGATCCAAGTTGGCGGTATCTGGAAGTTGAGACTGATCATTCTGAATTCCGAAAGGACGATATTTTGAGCGAAGCAAGCTGCAAGTCTGCTTTTTCAAAACAACTGCTGCCACGGGACAAACCTTCAGAAGTCTTGCCACTTAAGAACGACAATGTCTCAGAAAAATTATATGTAGGTTGTCTATTGTATCATCGGATAAATAAATGGACTGCTTACGTTAGGTGACATCATCTACTGTGGCCTGTGTATGATTCATTTTATCATTTTCACTTTGCAGCTAACAGCTTCTTCTAAAAAAAACATAATTTGGCTTTTCTATTAAAATCCAGTTCCGTTTTCTCTGCAGAATCTCTATTGCTTCGCAACATTTGTCAGCTTTCCATTTTCCAATTTGCCCTATTCTTTGGGATTCAATGACTTATTTATATATATATATATATATATTTTATTTATTTATTTATTTATTTGTACATATACATATTGCCCAATGTATTGCTTATATATAAGAACTTTTAATAGTTCCCTTTACAGTAACATATTAATATCACATCTAAACTTACCAAAAAGTCATCGTCACCAGTTATTTACGTATCTACCACTTAATCTGAATCTTCACTGAATATGTTCGATATTTAGCTACTTCCCTTAATTGTCTGCACAAAAAACAATAAAATCCATGCATCACCTTTCTCTTATTATTAAACGTCAATCTTACAATTACTTTTTGACCATTTGACAATTACTGCCTTGGCACCTATCCTGAGATCGTAAAGAAAGATGAAAGAGGGGAAATGTGGCATTTGGGTTGTCAAGTTTGATGGTAATACAGCCGAAGTCTCTATGTGCATAAACGATGAGGGAAGATGAGCAGTAGGATAGAAGGGAAAGTAGCTGGAAGAAGATAAACTGAGAGATTCCGATGAATAGGACTTTACGGAGGCCCAACAGAAATAGATGGAGATGGTTAGAAGTTGGCCTCCCTCCGGCAAAGTTAATTTGAAGCGAAAAAGGTCGTTTTGCTTTGCTTAGCATGTGGAGTCTTGCATACGCGGATTCGACGAAACGGTAACTAGAAGGTAAGGAAGATTTGAATTAGTATTATCTTGAAACCTTTGCAAGGATGGTTAGCAGCTCTGATGGTGTTCATCATTTGACGAACGAAAGCTCAGCCCATTTTCGCCCGAAACAAGGGAGGAGGATGTCTTGTGTACTGCGTCTACCTTAAAGACAGACAGCTGTAATATTATGAGAATCGACTTATGAATCTCTTTGTCATGCACTTTCAAAAGAAATGGAAGTCTCAACAACATTGTTATCACACGAGATTTATTGAAACCCGTTTTTTCTTCGTATGTTCAGCCAGCTCTATATGGATCGGAACATTTCTTACATATATAGATTATTTTGTAGCATCCTAATCAAGATAGGGTGTGTGAAAATTCTTGATTAGAGGTCATAACTAAGTAGTGTTAGTTTATTTTTACATATTGTTATGATGTTCCGTTTCCTCTCTACTTTATTTGCCTTTTAGAGTTAGACCAGGATAGCGGGTTATCATTTCTGAATGTCCTAGTGGGTTGTCAAAGAGCTAACTTGGATAGAGATGTGTTTGGCAAACCCACGCAAACTGGCTTCCTCTTTAACTTCTTTTCTAATCATAAATATGTGATCGATGCCGACAGGGAGCCTGAATTCAGCATACATAAAACATCAGGAGTATGAAATAGGAAGATTGTGGAATATTTTAGCCGACAACAATTAGTGGAGAGTGGCTTACGATACTCATAGATAGGATGCGAAGAAATATCAAATAGACCATTTACTTGTCTCTGATTTTGCCGTCCTGTCACCTTTCGATGAAGTTAAGTGAACTAGTAGTGAAGTGGAATGTCATAACAAGGTATACAGAAAAAAAAATTTATTTAATTAGATTTATCACGCTAATCGCTTCCATCCATCCCTCGATATGCGTCACCTATAAACCTATGCATTGTACAGTGTTCCCTATGTGCACCGTGCACGACAGTATCATTGTTAATATATGCACACAAAATGTGTCATTAATTATGTGCTTCTGATCGAGCAGTTATTTACCTTATTTTATTCGACCCTACTTTTTATCACTTTTCACTTTCTCTGTCTCTTATAACCTTTTGGCCCGTTCTGTTCTGCACTCTTTCCATCATTTGGAATTGAATTCCTTAGTCCCTTCAACTGCCACTTCTAGTAAGGTTAACGTGGATACTATGTGCTCTTTTGAGGTCAATAGAGGAGAAAAAGACTGTGCCTGATAGCCAATCCAATCGACCTTCGGTTTTCTATTCTAACGACAACAAGGTCTTCAGATTTACTAAAATATGCTAAATTTGGGCATAGCAACGGAGCATTTGTCCTAGGTCATTTAAAGTGATTTAAGGAATGATATTTAAGCTTTCCCACAATGAGATGAGTATGGCTTACGATATGATCTCATCCTGGGTGAACTACAGTTTTGATCTCGCCTAGACACATGTCAAGGCAGGCACAGAAAAATTTTCAATAATTTGATTTGCTATATTTATTTTTGTATATTTCGTGATTCTTTGTTATAGTCATACTTTCATGAATGCTCACTCTACTCACAACACACGTGAGATATGTGAACTGACTTTTATTTTTACAATGCTATCTCACATTCAGCCTTTATGTGCCCTGAGTCTTGATCCTTCGGACCTCGACGGCTTCATCAACACCTTTGAGGCCTGGCTTGATTCAGCCAAATTCCCTTCAATCCGATCTGCGAGCAATATTGGCGAAGCAAGCATTGACTCATCCAATCAACGAGGGCATGCACATCTTGCCATTAATCAGATGAACTTCAGTGTAAATCCCATTTTTTTATGCTGCCAGATTTCTTTAAAATTTCCCATAAATGGGTTTTCATCTTGATTAGATGATAAAAAAATCTATTAAAGTGTCATATTTATTATAAAAATATCGCTAATCTTTACGACCGATGTTATAAAACGCCACCGATTGGGTTTAGACTCAGACCTAAAGCCTAGTGACTAGAAGCGATTTATTTGTTTAAATATTATTACCTCTTTTTTTTATTCTATACACTCCCCTTAGTCCGACTTAGCAATGAGGCTGCATCATCTAGACCTCCTTGAACAGCATCTCCTCGAGACCATGGCATGCCAGACCATGCTTGGCAATGACTCTCTTGATGCCACATTGCCTCAACGCCCTCATTCTGTGTATCATCTTTCTTGCAACCTCCCGCCAAGCTGCAGAGCACAAGGCGCTTTTCTAAAACGGATACAAACAATTCGTCGGCGCGTGGAACAGTTATTCGAAACAGATCTGCTCGACTCTGAGGCACCTGTCTGTCTCGTCTCTACGTAAGTGCCCTACTGGCTTGTGCATCGTCCTATTTCAGTTTCGATTGTTCATCTTAAAAATGTTAGTCTTTTTGGAGCAGCAACTTAGTCATCAGCTGCCTTAACGAGATTTGTGATCCAGGGTGGCTACATTCTTATTCATGTATTACTGATATTTCCAAATATTACTAATCTTGCCTACAAATAACGTGGTCGCAAATAACAAAATTGTCTCATCGACTATCCCCTCTCACATGCAATTTTATAGTGGCTGGCCTGCCATGAAATTCACTCCAGCCTTGTGAACCAGTCGAACTCGTCACACTAGTGGTAACATGTTGAAGATGACTATTGCATTGCCCGAATCCCAATCCCGTTGTAGGCAAGATCGAAACTGCAGTCCGTTCTGAATGAATAACTTTGGAAGGGGAGGACCGTCTAAATGATTACGTACTACATTGTCAAGACTACTCATGGCATAGTAGAAAAAATAGAATTATGGAAACGAATAAATACGAACATTATAAAATTAAGAACTTTCGCCTAATCATCTAATTTGTTTTCAGTAAACAGTTAACTTGAATGGCACCGGTTTCAGAATGACTTATGGATTTCGAGCTTGAGGCCTCAACATCTTTTATCTGATCAACTCTATTTTGGCATCGCATCTACTTCTGCATGATACAGAAAAGATCTAGCTTCCCTACAATTTGCTATGTCCTGTGACCCAGTAGCACTTGTTGCAGTCTGGGGTAATTTTTAACCTGCCGCTACTTTACGCAACACTACCCGGGTTCGAGTCCCGCTGGAGGTGTTGATGAGATCTTGGTGAGGTCATACTTGCAGTCCACCCTTGCCGGGATAAGAAGACGTCTTAGGAAGCAAGGCTATGTGAAATTCAAATGGAATATGCTTATATCAATCACTCAATTACCAGTCATTTATTACCTTAAACGAAATATAGTGAATACAGTTCTTATATTTTAATTTATCTTATCACAAGCCTTTTTGCTCTAGCCTAAATGCTTTATTTGCTGCTTCTTTCTAGCCTGACCATTGGGCCAGATGAGTCTCAATCCTGGCCATCGAATCTGCAATCAAGTCAACCAGAAGTGTTGGCTTGTGAGGAGGGACAAGAAGACGAGTCTCTAACACCAGCCCGAGCAACTGACAATATCTCAGACGTTCTATCTGCCATAGTTCCAGCCCAAATCTCCCCAACAGCCAGCAACTACGAGTCGTCTGCTTGCATTAGCGATCGCCTTGATCGTGTTGACTCAGCAGAGGCTGGACATGCTCCTACGTCTGTCTCCGCCTGTCCCACAGAGTCTATCATCACCGCGACCACCATCAATCCCTCAGCCAGTTTTTCTTTAGGTCTCGTCATGAGCACTACTGTTAGTCCAGCCATTGCCAAAAATTCTCGTCCTCAAACTAAGTCAGCTTTGTGCAAAACCGATCCGAAGTCCACCCTCGACGCATCTTCAGCCGTCGCGACCTGCTCCACCGACACAACCAATGCCACAAC